TGTGGCAATCCATGTCCTTCAATACTGACTCAACATGATGCATGTTGAAACATGAATGCTCTCACATCACCTCAATATTGCCGTGCAGACTGGGAGATAAATAGAAAAAGAGACTGTTATATGAGAAACGTTTTAAGTGTTGGGATTGAACTCACTTCAGAGAAGGTTAATTAAGTGGGATGTTCCTCCCTTCACGGACAAAACAAAAAAAGGAGCAGTGTCTAGGTAAGCATATAGGTAGGTACAATCAAAAAGACTCAATGTCCAAGAGAGGTAAGCTTTACAATATATGAATATACATGACCTCAACAAAGGACTTCATAATTTCCGGATACGTCTCCATACGCACAATACCCAAACCTTGCACCTTGAACCAAAGTTTGGCTGATCTGTGGTGATTACTTCTGTTCCAGAATGCGTACACCCACCATCGGCTTTATAATCCCCTTCCACCTTTATTCGATGAGCTCCACGTACTGCTCGCGAACGTGGAACAACGTACTTGCTCTTTTCTTCTTCTTTCCTCTACTGTAAACTCTAATGCCTGCCATGTCGAAGTGCCCCTTGGAAATACTTTAACGGCATATGTCTAGGCAAATATTTCATTAGTGGGATTTAGTTTAGCAGCCTGAAGGAAAAGGGAAACGCGTGAAGTTGAGAAGTCGGCACCGCCATGAACTACTTGTGTGAAAGTGAAACTTCAAGATATCTACTGTAGATGGAGATGAGAGACTCATGAAAATAAAAAGGACCTTCATCTGCGAAGATTTTTCCATCCCAGTTTTTCGTCTACGAAATTCAACATCTTTGTTCGCTGAAGGGTTCGACAAAAACAAATTTCCCCCTGGAGAAGTGAATTTCTTGTCCGGTGGCCCCGGAATCAAGGACGATGGGACAGATCGATAGTCGCTTCGAGGGTGCGACTCCATGCAGCATCTGCGATGGCAACCTTCTCGTCACCCCTACTCATGACAGGGCGTCATAGCAGTCGTTTTTCCTCGTAATACATTTTTTCTTTTCATTTAATTAGTTTGTTTCGTAGTGAATCTTGGAGGTAAAAGAAATAACTTGCTTTTATTGTCTAGCTTGGAAAAGAGAAGGTACGCGACTGAGGAATAAATGAACATGTTGTCATAATCACTTCATCGAACTCCAATCACAAGTGAAAGAGAAAAGAAGAATTTTGCAATGAATAGGAAGACATTTTCATATTTGTCATCTATCGATCGTTGATGTCATTTTATTCCGTTGACCATAGAATTCTTCAACCGCGGAATCGTCCTCCGCCGAAACCGCCGCCATAACCGCCGCCGTAACCACGTCCGCCACCAAAGCCTCGTCCTCCTCCATAGCCTAGAAAAAGGGACACCAGCTGTTAGAGACTCGTAGGGAATGGTTTCGTTTTCGGCGTTTTCGTAGGACTTGCCTCCACCAAATCCGCCGTATTTGGCTTCCTGCAGGTCAAGATCGTCAGCCTCGTTGTCAGCATATGCGAAAGCAGCTGCCAAGATGGCAAACACAACCAGGATTCCCATGGCCTGAATCATAAAAATGATACATATAGATGTGCTTCTGTCTTTGAAGCGGGGAGAAAGACTGGGAGGATTTCTAGGATAACTCGTCTCATTGGTATATGTTCGCTAACAAAACACGATCAACAAAAAATAACATTCACTTATAATGTCCTAGCATGAGAGGTATATCTCCACGTATCTGATCGATTCGCACCTTCCTTACTACATTACTTAGTGCCAGGGTTCGATTCATGCTCTCTACAGTAAGCACGCCGGCCCTGGCACTCCGTGAAAGGACTCGTGAGTTTTTCTATATCTGGCGAAAAAAATTCCGAAATAAAAGTGAGTAATTCGACTGCAAAGCCAAATTCTATGGTAGGTCGAGAAAACTTTAATACGTCAGTTTTATCAGCAAAAAAATGTTTCAGTCATTTCATCTGAAGAGGAAAAAAGATAGAAAAGAGGATGCTTTTCCTGTGAGATTCAATATGTCAACGATGAGAGCAATTCCCACTTCCTCTATGATTGAATTTTTTCTTAGATTTCCATGAGACAACAGCACGATTGTCTATGAGAAACACTGCATTGTACTTGCGAAGGAAAACTCCCCGTACCTCCCTTGGCTACATAAGATCGATACGTCTTCAGTTGATCGAAACAACAAGTCGTGCTAATTCTATAATTTCTCGCCGTCTTTGTGCAAGGAAAACGAGTAACTGAGAAACTCACGAGCTTAATAGTGGATGACTGGAGCTTGGAAGAGCTGGATGGTGCTCAAACTGTTGCAAGTGGAGAACTGATGGAGCAGCGATCCCAACAGAGGGACTTTTATTGTCCCCCATGTCCTTGATTGAACTCTCATGCAGAAATTGGTGTGGCTTTTTTTTTTTGCTTCACGCTATGGTTTCCATCCTTCCACGATGGTGTCACGACAGGACCATGAGTTAGGCGCCATGTGTAACACGCCCCAATCGGAAACTCTGTGTTGTCGCTTTGCTCATGTCTTAAGTGGTTTGAAATGATAAAATTTTTGTAATTTGTGAGATATTTTTTTTGGCGAGTATGGATGAAAACTTTCCCGTCGCCTTGAGGGATTCCATCAATGACACAAGTGTGCAAGCAAAGTCATGCTCGATCATAACTGGATACTATTATTCCTGAATTCCTGACTTCATTTCACTGGAATGGCCGTCTTAATCCCCTTTCCTTCGCCCCTGCTCTCGTCACTTTCTTCCGCGTTGAAGTAGGAAATCCAAAGTTGGTGTGTGTTTCCCTCTGGGCGAACCAGGTTTCATATGAATGCAGAAATTACTTTTAGATTGCAAGTACATGATGAATTTGTCTGAAGCACGGCTCCCTTAGAGAACAGGTGAGATTAGAATTCGAAAATTCATATTTTCGTAATGGGAGGTTGTGCAAGGCCTGCATTCCTGATTAGGTCAGAATTGTTTTCTTCTCATGCCCCGTGGGTTCCTTTCTTGCAGGGAGGAATGTCAATTATAAAGTAAACTCTGCGACATAGATGAAACACGGGAACTCATTCTCTTGACGAAATTCTCTTTAGACCCGTGTAAGAACCCATTTTTTTAAACCTCTCTGTGGCGGGGAATTTTTTTTCCATTTCACAAATAGTCTTGGCTTACGTCCGTCCAGTAACCCGAATGCCCATTCGTTTAGTCCACAAAAATTATTTTGAAAAACCAACCGAAATAATTTAGCTTACAATTATAAATTTGGTCATATGTTACTATCTGTAAACTTGTTCCTGGTCCTTTTCCACTCCAATGCTCATTACGCTTGCAAAAATCTCCAATGTTTCTTGAAGGTCCCCAGTAGCACATAACATTGAATCAATGTTGTTTCATTGTTGTTATCACGTGATGCTATTTCAACAAGTCGATGGATATTGTATCAGAGCTTTGTCCCTGTTTGTTTTAATATTGGTAGACAAGTGCTGCAACATCCCAAGTGGCAAGAAGAAATGAGGAGAGGCCGGTCGCTGTCGCAGGTCTCAACATTGGTGCGACCTGTATAAATTCAACATTCATTGTAGCAATCCATGTCCTTCAATACTGACTCAACATGATGCATGTTGAAACTTTAATACTCGGACAACTTCGCCTCGATGTTGCTGCGCAGACTGGGAAATAGACTGTTGCTTGAGAAGTGTTTAAAGTGCTGAGATTGCACACACGAGAGGAGGTTCATGAAGTGTGCGTTTCACGTCATCCATGAATTTTACAACTGAACGGAATGGAAAACTTATATCGGGGTCGATTCTTTTTCGACCCGATGGCAGCAGCATAAGCAGAACCAGAAGAAACACTTGCTGGGTGAAATGAAGACAAGCTAAACTAGCGTGATCCCACAAAGGTCCCCTATGGGAATCAGTTTAACCCAGATGAACTTATTCCGGTAGACGCTCATCATGAAAAAAGCAGATGCGGCGCAGGTTTTGCGACAGAAGTTCTTTACTTACACTGTCATGAACACTTGAATCACTTTGAGTGGCGATGTTATGTCTGACCCGTCCCATGACTGGCTTAAAAAAAGGCTTCATGTCTTCAACGACAAAAGAAATATTAGCGATGTCGCTATGAGCATATAGAAAACAGGTATGATCATGCTCCCATAAAATATCGATGTCTAAGAGTGGTAGGTCGGAAAATTATTCATGACTTGAAAAAATCCACGCTTCTAATCTCCCCTGTCTTCCGAAGGCTGGAGAAACGGTTAGACATCGAAATCCCAATTTCGTGGAAGCCAAACATTGAGGCAATAGCCGTTGTTACCTATGTAAGCATTCACCGTCAAGAAATTCGCGAATTCAATTAAACACTCACGAAACACTGACGTCATTCCCTTTTTATCTATGCTGAGGGTAATTTTCGACTTCATTCGATTCCGGCAGGTATAAATTACTACTCGTCCTCGGTTCATCGCCAGAAGTTGCCAATTGTTAGAATCATGAATATTGTTTCTATCGTCTCGAGATCCAATCTTCATTTCGATCTAGTGAAAATAAAAAGTACCTTAATCTACGAAAATTTTCATCCCAGTTTTCGTCGAAAAAAATCACTGTTCATTTCTCTTTGTTGTTCATGGAAGCACTCTCCATGCTACGGTTTCACAAAAACTCATAACACCAAGAAAGATGGATTTCTTGTCCCAGAAACTTAGGTCTCTGAAACAGTGACGATGAGACGGATCCATAGTCCCTTCGAGGGAGCGACTCGAGACGGCAACTGCGATGGCAACCGTCTCTTCGTCCCTTCTTGTAAGAGGGCGTCTTAGCAGTCCTTTTTGCATATGATGCATTTTTTCTATTCGTTTGATTCGTTTCTTTCGTAGTGAATCTCGGAGGTATAAGATAAGGATATGCTTTTATTGTCTAGCTCGGAAAAGGCAAGGTATGTAACTGAAGAAAAAATGAACATGTTGTCGCATTCATTTCATCAAACTCAGATCACAAGTGAAGGAGAAAAGAAGAATTCTGCAAAGAATAGGAAGACATTTTCATATTGGTCATCTTTCGATCGTTGATGTCATTTTAATCCGTTGACCATGGAATTCTTCAACCGCGGAATCGTCCTCCGCCGAAACCGCCGCCATAACCGCCGCCGTAACCACGGCCGCCACCAAAGCCTCGTCCTCCTCCATAGCCTGGGAAAAAGAAGACGTTTGTTCTTAGACATCCGCATGAAACGGATTTGTTTTCGATGTTTTCGTAGGACTTACCTCCACCAAATCCGCCGTATTTGGCTTCCTGAATGTCAAGATCGTCAGCCTCGTTGGCAGCATATGCGAAGGCAGCTGCCAAGACGGCAAACAGAACCAGGATTCCCATGGCCTGAATACAATTTAAAAAACAGAAATATATATTTGCTTCAGTTGTTGCTACAGGAGAAATATTTTGAATATTTCTATTATAGCTCGTTTTATTGTTTTTTATTCGCTGCCCAAACAGGATTTACAAAACATAGCTTTTGTTGATGTACTTGTGGCATGAAGTGAAATTCTAGCCATTCGTGTTCGGTTCTCGCCCGACATTAATATCTTCGTTTCAATTTTTCATTCATGTAGAAAAACATTCAGACTTCTGCAGTATGTTCAAGGAAATCATTTTTACATTCCTGGCAACAAGAAATTTAAAGTGGAAGAATCCAACTGTACCGCCAGAGGCGGTGGCGGGTGGTCGAGAAACTTGAATATCATAACATTTTTCAATGTAAAAAAATTGTGTCATTCAATACTCACTATAAGAAAAAAAATTATCTGAGTGGAGATGCTTTCCCTTGTGGGATTGTATATATTTCTTTACAATAATAGCAATTTCCAGTTTCTCTATAAATTTTCATTTCGTACTCTCCGAGAATTCGAGACAACTGCATGTGTGTCTGTGAAATTGTTATGAAGGAAAATGTATTATGTCGCTTAAAATATCGAAGAATTCATCAGTGTATCGAAATAGCGAGTCAAGGTAATTTTCTAATTTCTCATCGTCTCGGTGCAAGGAAGACAAGGGAACTGAGAAACTCACGAGCTTCATCGTGGATGACTGGAGCTTGGAAGAGCTGGATGGTGCTCAAACTGTTGCGAGTGAAGAACTGATGGAGTGGGAATCTGGCTGAGGGCCTTTTATTGTCCCTGTGGTCCTTGATTGACCTCTCACGCAGAAAATGGTGTGGTTTCTTTTTTTTCGTTTGCACGCTATGGTTTCCATGCTTCCGCGATGTGGTCCCGTGTGGACTCTGAGCCCAGCGCTATGGGAACCATGCACTAATCGGAAATCCATGTTGTCCCTTTATTCGTTTCACAAGTTATTTCAAAATTTACGTACTGAGAAATTAAATTTCCTTTCGGGTGTATTGGAGCTTTCCCGTTGCCATGAGGGGTTCTATCTTATGCCGTTTGAGTGTAAAGAAATTCCTGCAAAATTCTAGCCCTGTACTTTTTTTTCCATAACTTTTGTTGTCTGCGAATTTTGTTTCTTAACTTGAATGACTGTTTTTATCGGACTTCCTTTTGCTCCTGCTCTCGCCGCATCTGTCCGTGGTGGAGTAGGCAATCCGAAATTGGCTGGTTTCCCACTGGGTGAATCGTGTTTCCTGTGAATGCTTAAGGTACTGTACTTTCAGATGCAACTACTTGAGAGATTTATATGAAACCCGTCTCACTTATAGAGCATGTGATATTAGTGAAATGTTCCAACCAAAAGTTAGAATTCAGAAATCCTCATTTGCTAATAGGAAGTTGTGCAAGACCTGCATTTGTGATGAGGGGCAAAATTGAGATTTTCCTCTCGGGTCCCAATGGTTCCTTTCTTGTACGCAAGAATGCTAAAAAAAAATTAAATTGATGATGCATGTGGGCTTTGTCTCTGATTGTTGTCATATTGGAATACTTGTGCTGCAACATCCCTAGTTGAGAGAGAGAAGGAAAGGTCATTGTCACAGGCATAGTCGGCGATTCATTGGGGTCTCGTGGGCTCGGAGCCCCCCCCCCCCCCCCCCCCCGCCCCCCC